TACTCTATGGCGTCGCAGTATACACCACAAGGATCGAGTGTATGACGGTGTACCAAGTCGAAAGCTGCTCGAAAGTCGAGGAATGTTTCATGCCAGAGTAGTCGAAAGCTTCTTCAATGTTCGATTGCCTTCTTCGGTTTTCGAGGAGGGATTCGCGCGTTTACGTTTTCCAGCCCAGGCATTATTATAACCCCAGTAGTTGGAGGAATCAGAACGTTTGAATACGGCAGTGATCACGCGCTGCTTCCTGTTCTCGGGGGTTTTCGATTTCCGTCAGATGTTGTCAAAGCCACATGGCTGCAATGCAGTAGTATTTCGCCTGAAATCATCAGAATTTCCTCAATAACCCTATCGCTACGCAGGATTTCGAAGAGATTTCAACAGACACTTATGGCATGCCGTACTTCATGCTCAGCCTATCTCTTCTAATAGCTGACTGAGAATTTGGAAAAGGCTCGTTTGACTTGCTGCGAATCAGGCAAGTTCGGAACTTATTTTTGCTGCCATTGGTGATTATGTTGACTTGCCTCTGTAGCGTCTTTCAGTCCTTCTTTAAAACCGTCTGTTCTAGGTTCTGCGCATCGAGTTTCTTACAGTATCGCTTGTCATAGCGGTAACTCCTGTAGACGGCTTTAACGAGATGTCAATATTCTCGCTTCATCGTCCCTTCAGGGTTCTGTAAGAACTTCTGCATCACCGCCTTTCTTCTTTGCCGAAGGTTGAGGGTTTCTGCCGAGACCCACGAGTGCTTCGTCTTCTTGCTCAGGCCGAGCATATTTGCTGCAGCATCGACGATGTTCTGTTGGAACTGTTGGTGCAGCAAATCGGAATCCTGACAGATCATATCCTTTACAGAAGCGAATGTGCTGTTGATCTCGTCTTGGATCACCGCACAAGTTTCTGGATTTTATTTTATTTCTGGATTTGTTGGTGTCGAATCTGGCATTTGCCCTTTCCGTGCTATTCTCTCGGTCGTATATCCAATTGGAGGCGGAGCTTTGTGACCAGTATCAGCTCCGTATCGTGCCC